TTTCGAAACCACCCCCTACTTGCACAGTATAGGTTACTGCCGTTGCACATTGTCTCTGGAATTTTGTGCGAATTTGCACGAATCCCTCCTTCGATGTTGCACAAATATCCATATGTCTTGTAACCGACTATACGCGTTTGTTGTTTTTTTATTTTGCTTCCTCTCTTGGTTAACACCCGCCTAATGAACGGTTTATGTTAGGTACTGGGATATTATATATGTTTTTGAGTGGTGTCTTGCACATTCGGTCACTTTGATGTACCATATTATTTCGACTAAAGGGTGTCATGCAAACATCCCTGTTATTAAATCTTCAATGTTAAGTTGCTTTATTTCCGGTGCACCGACCACTCACCTACCGAGTGTCATGCAGCACATCCCACTTGCACACTACTGTTCGTTGTCGGTGCACAAGGTGACTGGATTTTTGTGCACTTCTGCACGTATGCTTCCATCAATGTTGCAAAACAATTCATATGTACTATAGATGACTATACACGTTTGTCTGCTTTATTTTTTATTCCCCTTTTTGTTAACTTCCCCCCAACGCACAGTTTAGATTAGGTGTGTCATTCAGTTCCTTCGATTTACCATATTATTTCGAATAACGGGTGTCTTGCGAACATGCATTTTAATATAACTTCAAAGTTAAGTTGGTTTATTACCGTCGCGGGGATGCCCCCTACCGTGTGGCATTTTATATTTCTGTTTGGGTGCACATCACCTGAACGTGTCTTAATCTATTTAGCGTTCTACGGGTTATTATTTGTTGCCATTTATCATTGCATTCATACAGTAGCCGGCGATGCACATACTGATTCATCCAGATGTAACGCCTTTGCACACTGGTGTACTCCACTACAAATTGGCTCAGAATAATAACACAAACAGGCAGAAAAACATCATCCCTACCTCTCATTATATACTCTTTACACTGCATAAGTTTTATAAACCCCTTTCATCACAGTTTCAAAAACAACCAATTTCATACAATTCACAACACGTTTTTGATTTGTGCATTATAACATACCACCACCGTGCTTCTACACAAACGGGCAACTAAACAGCCATGTTTTCCACTGATGGTAGTCGTAAAAAAAAAAAACAGAAAACATAAAAAAAAAAAAAAAAAAAACAGAACAACCATCGTCTATCGTATAGAGGTTCTCATCGGAAACTACACAATAATATACCCCTATTCACGTTTATTTCTCCCCAACCCTGCCGGTATTTCAGATTCCGACTGAATCGCCGACTTCAACAACTACACGCACAGTGTTTTTTTTCCCCAAATCAAACCCACCATTCTCTGGTTCCCTAACTCATAATCAACTAACACATACATGCAATTGCATTTTGCACTCAATCGCTCCTAAAAAAATCAGAGTGTTTAAAAAAAACACAAAAAAAAAAAAAAAAACAAAACTTACGCAGTCTGCTCGTTGCGTCGATCGACGCACGCCAGGTGCTCCGCCTTGGGGTTCCGTAAGCCATTGATTCCGTTGTTGAAGTCGCCGGTCGGAGTTTGTGTTTGGCGCTGTCGGTTCGTCTGCTCCAAATCTCTCCAGTGTGCAAAACCGTCAGTCTCCTTATTATTAGCAACTTTGAACCCTACACTGTCAAGACCCGTAAACAAAGGGATTTCCTTCTTTGTCTTGCACAATTAACAGTATAATTACTTGTTTACCCCCAACTTAATTACATATTAAGTAACAAGGCAGCGTACGTGGCGTTTGAATTCCATCTAGCCATCATTTTTGGGCCGTTAGATCGTCTCATCTTAGGGTGGGATTTTGACCTCAAACCTCACCTAACACATAAACCTCACTAGAACCCCACCCTATATATATATATATATATATATATATATATATATATATATATATATATATATATATATATATATATATATATATATATATATATATATAATTTACAAATAATACTAAGCTAACGCCCACATATATGATATATTGATATGTATACACAAATAATATATATACATATTATTTATAATTAAAATTTAATATTCATATAAATATTTAATTAAATATAATTTATAATTAAATTAATTGTTATATGATAATTTTAATAAAATTATAACTAAAAATAGGAAAAAGATACCAGGACTATGTGGTCCAATGGTACCCGGGTTGGACTTCCATTAGGAAGGTTGTGAGTTCAAGCTTCAGTGGAGGCGTTATTAGCTCCTTGTGTTTCAGTAGGTTGAGAAAGTATATGAACAGATACTACAATGTAATAGAGCTAGTAGCATTCAAAAAAATAGGAAAAAGATATAATAAGATTGGTGGACATGTTAAGCAAAATGTATATATTTATTAGCATATAAAAAAAGAGACAAAAATTAAGGACATAACTTGTATTGGCACTTATTATGTTTTTAGATTAGATATATATTATTTTTTTTGAAAAGGAATTAACTCTTATATTAATTGTTCACAGCTGGATATTTAAAAAGAAAAGTTTAAAATGTATAAAAGAATGTTACTTTAATTTGATCGAGATCAATGTGTCGGCCATTAATTGTCCTTTCACATGAATGGAGATTTAAAATAAATAATAAACAAACAAAAAAAACAAAAGTTAATTAAAAGGGAAAATGACACTTTTTCCCCCTATGTTATATATTTATAGCATTTTTTCTCCCTCAATTATTTATGTAAGCACATTAACCCCCTCAATTATTTTAAAAGTGGTGGTTTCCCCCCCTAATATATTAAATTGACATTTCTACCCTTAAAGTAAACATTTTATTTATTTTACTTCTCCAACAAATTATTGCGTATATGTAGCGATTACCACGGTTCGGTTCGAACTGAACCAGATACTATAGCAATCGAATTAAAAGTTTTCAGTTATGATTCAGATCTAGAACCCAATATTTGGATTTCAATTTATTAAATTTAAGAATAAAAAAAAACTGGATCATGAACCGGCGGTTCCGGATCCCGTTCGCGATTTTGAACTGTCTATATTTTAAAATTTTATTTTTTATTTTAAAATAGTTTAAATTCAACAATAAATGTATTTTATTTTTTCAGTTCGGAACATGAATCGGCCATTCCAGTTCGCGATTTTAATAAACTCTAAATATCGCGTTTTGATTATAAATTGTAATTGGAATATTTTGGTTTGGTTACTATAGTATCTGGTTTGAACCAAATTATAGTAATAATTTATTGAAGAATAAAAATAAATGAAATATTTATTTTAAGGGTAAATATGTCCATTTAACATTTAAGGGGGAAAAAGAGCCACTTAAATAATTGAGGGGGAAAAAGTGCTATAAGTATATAACATAGGGGGAAAAAGTGTCATTTTCCCTAATTAAAATGTATAAAAGATTGTTACTTTGACATTATCGCATCTGCCATTAATTGTTAAATAATTGCGCACCTCAATAATGGCAATTATGGCATGTGTTTTCTGAACTGAGCTTCGTAAGAAAACATCCAACTGAAAATTATACTAGCTAGCTAGTAGCTACCCATTCATTCTTCGCTGGTGACTAATTTTGGTCAAATTAAAAATTAATGATAAAAATTGATAAAAGTTAATACTTGAAGAACCGTTTTTGAAATTAACTCTTATATGAAAAAAATTGTAACTTATACTCTTCACAAATATGCCAATTATCAGTGCCACTTTTAAATTATATTAGTGGTGTAAATGTTTACACTTTATTTTTAAAATATGACCTATATTGCACCTCTCCTGAATTATTAGCAAGATAAATGTGGTTACTCACCATATTCCTTATTCGAAGACCACGTTTTTTTTTCTCAATTTTGTTTCTTCGTTTGTTCTTCTTCCGCTCACAACAATATTTCTCCTTTTCCCTATTAGGAGATGGGCAATATATGTCACATTTTAAAAATTGAAAAGCAACATTATATCATTAATAATTCAGATGTGACATTAATAATTGGCATATATATTTACAATTTTCTTCTCTTATATTAATTGTTCACAGCTGGATATTTATAAAGAAAAAAAAGTTTAAAATGTAAAAAAGAAAGTTTAAAAAGAATACAAGATTGTTACTTGAGTCCATTGAGATTATTGTGTCGGCTATTAATTAACCATGTCCATTAAAGTACAGGAATTAAATTGAACAAAATTAAGGTATATAGATTAAATTGAACAAAATATTATAATACAGGGACCTAACAAGTACTTTGACCAATCTGACCGTTATTAATTAACCCCGTGTAAACTTTAATATATCAATCGTTATATCGTGGACCGCAGTGCACATGCACTGCGGTCTAAACGGCGTCGTTTCAGTTAGGAGCGCGCATATTTGGTGTAGTAATTATCAACTGACACTACAGTGTATCTAAATCGATACTGCTTCACGTATTATTTTATATATTATTAACTGAAACTGCAATTCAATTGAAGTGAAACTGTAGTTGTGTTGAAATGAAACTACAGTGTATCTAAACTGACACTGCCTCACGTATTATTTTTATATTATCAACTGAAACTGCAATTGAATTGAAATGAAGTTGTAGGTGTGTTGAAATGAAATTGCAGTGTATATAAAATGAAACTGAATAACATTTCATATTTTTGAGTGTATATTGTGTAATGAAGCTGCAGTTATATCAAAATGATCATGTAGTGTGTTTTAATGAAACTATGATGTATATAAAATAAAATTAAATAATATTTTCACATATTTGGGTGTTATAATATGGAATGAAACTGTAGTTATATTGAAATTAAACTGTAGTTATATCGAAATGAAACTACATTATATACAAAATAAAACTGAATAACAGAGTTACTTTTTGCGGAATGGTGCGAAACGACGCGAAACAGATTGTGTTTCTTTTTATTAAATAAAACGATATCGTTTTGACGCGCGGCGTATAATCGACTATGCACCGCGGTGCACGATATAATTGGCCTTAATATATGCCTATGGTTTTGGTCCACTATGATATTATATTATTATTGCGTCGGCCATTAATTGCGCATCTCAATAATATAATTGTATAATGTTTGTTGTGAAGTCTGAACTGAACTTCATAAGAAAAAACATTGCCAACGACGACTAGCTTTCCATTCATCATATCGCCAGTGAAAGTAAAACCTGAACTTCATTCCTGGCCGTACTAATGGCGGAGGCTGCTGTAGAGTTTCTTCTGGAAAAACTGTCATCGTTGATCGTTTCAGAGTACTCACTGCTGGGAGGGCTCAAAGAAGACGCAGAAGACATCAAGAATGCTTTGGATCGTCTAAAGGCGGGTTTGAGAGTTGCAGACGAGATGGAAGAAATTGATTCTCAAGCTCAAGCCTGGGTGAAGATAGTCCGGGAGCTGGCTTATGACACCGAAGATGTTCTTGACGAATTCCTGTTCCGATTTGGAGGTGGCCAGACCGGTGGAGGATTCTACGCTAAAATCAACAACATATACACTTCCCTCAAGAACTTGAAAGCCCGGCGAAGGCTTGCTCTTTCACTGCAAAGGATCAAGGCCAAACTCAACGACAACTCCCAGTATCAGCCAAGCTTCCCTACAACCTCTACGGGGACTACTATTCACGCCCACAACAAAAGGCCGTATGATAGTAGAGGGGATGCTCGTTTGGTAGAAGAGTCGGATCTGGTAGGTATTCACTATCCAAAGCAATATCTTGTTAATCTCTTACTTGCTAACGATGAGGAGTTGAAGGTTCATGCTGTAGTGGGCACTGGGGGATTGGGAAAGACGACTTTGGTTAAACAAGCATACGATGATGCGGAAGTAAAAAATCACTTTCAGTATCGTGTGTGGGTAACAGTTTCTGAAACGTTCGAGATTAAGGAGTTGTTGAAAGATGCAATTAAGCAATTTGTGCAGCAAACTAAGCAAGGTCTTCCTCTGGACTTTGAAGCCATGAGCTCTACTGGATTGAAAGAATTTGTCAAGGAGAATCTTTCGGGTCGAAGATATATCATTGTTTTCGACGACATATGGGGCATTAATGCTTGGATGGAAATCAAATGTGTTCTTCCCAAACAGGCTTTTGGTAGCCGTGTAGTTATCACGACGCGGAATAGCGAATTAGGTGCCCAAGCATGTCATGATACCCGTGGTGTTGTATACTCTTTAAAGCATTTGTCTCCTGAAGATTCTTCGACTTTGTTTTGCAGAAAGACATTCTTATGTGATTCATGTCCGCAACACTTGGTTAATATCACCACAAACATCTTAAATAGATGTTGTGGTTTACCCCTAGCGATTGTGGTGATTGCGGGGGTGTTGGCCACAAAGACTGAGGACATTGAAGAATGTGAAAGATTCCAGCAAAGCCTCAACTTCCAATTAGTAGAAGGCAATGACACGATGAAGAACATGAAGAATATACTTTCTCTCAGTTACTATGATTTACCATATTATTTAAAGTATTGTTTTTTGTACTTGTGCATCTTCCCAGAGGATTTCATCATCCAAAGAATGCAAGTGGTTCGACTGTGGATTGCAGAAGGATTTGTTAGAGAGAACAACGGACAAGTAAAAGGAAAAATCGCTGAAGCCTATCTTGATGAATTAATTCATCGAAACTTAATCCAAATTGAAAGAAAAACTAGAATTGAAAAGATTAAGGGTTTCCGAGTGCATGACATTTTACGAGAAGTTGTTCTTTCTAAGTCAGTGGAGCAAAACTTTGCAACCATTGCTAATGGACGAAACATAGAATCGTCCAACAAGTTTCGACGCCTAGCAATCCATAAATTTGATGACCAAATTCTAAAGAGCACTTCATCAAAAAAGCATCTTCATTCCTTATTGGTCATCAAACCCCTTTCAACCTTGAATGTGCTACTTTTGTTATCAAAGTTCTTCACGGGAAGTTATTATAATCCTCTAAAGGTCTTGGATTTAGGCAATTCTCAACTAGAGGAAATCCCAGAGCAAGTTTTTAACTTGTTTCAACTGAAGTATTTGAGTTTAAGGGGTACAAAGTTGAGAAGCGTTCCTAAGTCTATTGGATGCCTTCAAAATTTAGAGACACTTGATTTGAGGTACACTCATGTGAATGAGTTACCAGCTGAGCTCTCAAAACTATGTAAACTTCGACATCTCCTCTGTTACTCGAATTCTCTTGGGTGTTATGATCTTTGGAGTTGGAGTATTGATGGTGAAATACCAAGCTTTAATGCTCTATTTAAGGTTGGGGAATTATTGTTTTTACAAAAGTTGTGTCATATACAAGCAAACGATACTACCGGGGAGAAAGTAGTGTCTGAGATAGGAAAGCTAACACAACTAACAAGACTAGGAGTTACTAAGCTGAGACAAGAAGATTGCATAGAATTATGTTCGTCCTTGAAAAAGTTGACAAATCTTTGCTCTTTAGATCTTTGTTTGGCTTCAGAAGATGAGATCCTTGATATTACACTTGATCTTCCTCTTCGTCTTCATCAATTAAAATTAACAATTCTTTTTCTTGTGAAGTCTTATGAAGGGGAAGGATTGTGCTTCAAGGCCGAAAAGTTCTCAAAGCTCAAGTTCCTGTATATCTCTGGGTTTCCGGCACTAAAATGGATAACAATGGAGGAAGGTTCATTGCGTCATCTCGAAACGTTTTCGGTGCGTAATTGCGAACTGCTTGAACAGGTGCCAGTAGGTATTGAATATTTGTCTAATCTTAAGGACATTCATTTCCATGAATTGGCTGACAAATTGATGGAAACTTTAGAGCCAAATGGTAAATACTATGCAAAAATATCTCGCATCCCAAGCATTTACACTTCCAAGTTGATACATGGTAAGCAGACATTTTTTCTTAATGGTCAGAAATTGTAGTATTTGTTAATGGTCATGTAAGTTGTGTTAGTTTTTAATTAATTAATAAGGTGTTAGTTCCAATTGTGTTTAATTTAATTATATTGTCTTACATAGATTTAAAAGTCTTCAATAATATATGTTTTTTTAGAGTCATTGAACCGCACACAATAATGTAATTAGGCCATTGAACTCAAAAAAGCAACAATTAAGTCTCTAAACTAACCCATTTCAAACAATTTGTCCAATTTGCAGGTTTTCCCCTTTCTAACAGGTCACCAAATTTAAAATATATTTTTAAAATAATTAATTAAAATAAGCTAAAATTATTAAAAAAAAAAAAAAAAAAAAAAAAAAAAAGAACTTCGTCTCCGCCGGAGACAAAGATCCCTTCTTTGTCTGTGGCCGAAGACGAAGATACCTTCGTCTCCATGGCCGGAAACAAAGAGTCTCCTTGTCTCCATGGCCGGAGACAAAGAGACTCTTCGTCTCCGGCCATGGAGACGAAGGTATCTTCGTCTCCGGCCACAGACGAAGAAGGTTTCCTCGTCTCCAGCTGGAGACGGAGACGACCTTCGTCTCCATGGTCGGAGACGAAGATACATTCTTCGTCTTTTGCAGTTGACGAGTTTTTTTATTTTTTTTTTGTTTTGTTTAATAAATAATTTTAGTTTATTTGAATTAATTTTTTTAAAAAATTATTTTTAAAATATATTTTAAATTGAGTGATGTGTTAGAAAGGGGAAAACCTGTAAATTGGACAAATTGTTTAAATTGGGTTAGTTTAGGGACTTAATTGTTATTTTTTTTTTGAGTTCAATGGCCTAATGGCCTAATTGCATTATTGTGTGCGGTTCAATGACCTATTTGACTCTTATTTCTTTTTTCTTTTTTTAAACATATATGTTTCTTCAATAATATATGTTTGTAATATCTAAATTAATCGATTATTGATAACTAGAGTTGGCAATGTAGGCTCGGTCTATATGCTATAGTAGTTATTTCTGGTTTTGCCATCCAGTCATGTAATTTGGGATGCCATGGCTCAACCCATGTTACTTCTATCTTCTTTAATTATTGTTCTTTGTATTACTCCGTATTATTTATTTTAAGTTGTACTAGTTTTAATTTTTAAAATCGTTTGGTCCGCATAAAATGGCTCACTTTTTTTTTTTTTTTTTTTTTTTTGAAAACAAAATGGCTCACTCAATCACTAAATGTATATTATCATATATATGAGTGATGACAACTTTCTTGATGTTGTCTACTTGTCTAATATTAATTAATACAAGAAAAGAACTTAAACTAGCTATTACAATTTAAAAAAAAAAAAGAAATTGTGTCAGATATATATGATTTGTAGACTACATTGGTGACCTCTAATGTCCTTTGAAAATGTTCAGCAAAAATTTATCCACAAGTTTGCGACATATGTTTTTTTTTTTTTTTTTTTTTTTTTTTTTTTTTTTTTTTTTTTTTTTAATTCTTTAATGCCACGTTATGTGGTACTATGTAGAGATTATTACTATTACTATAACTTGTTTAACTAAAAAGTTTAATGAAAATCTTACCCAATAATAGAATTCCTTTTACCCGTTGACAGCTTAACTAAGTATGCACCATTTTAGATTTATATCTATTTATGCTATTCACATTGATGTTGGAAATTAGCAAATTCTTTAGCAGTACAAAAGTATTCCTATGGGGTATGATTGTATGAAGATGGAAGATTATATATATATATATATATATATATATATATATATATATATATATATATATATATATATATATGTACTCTCTATATATCCCGTTTGATCTGTTTTGTATACTATATTCATTAGTCTATTAAATATTCTTTTTTCGCTCATATCATTTGGAAATTCAATTAAATTCAATTCAATTAAAATAATAAAACTTTCCAAAAGCAAGAAAATATATTTTTAATTCATCAATTATGTAACTATACTTATTCTCAGTGGCGGATCCTGAAAATTATGTGAGTGGGGACATACTTAAAATGACTCTAGAATTGTCAATTACAAAATATCAAACACCTATAATATGGTTCAAATACATTATAAATTATAATACAATGTTTATGATAGACAACATAATAATTTGGGGCGGAGCCAAAACTATACTTGGGTATGGTGAAATTTTAAAATACTTTGATATGTTATGCAATTATTTATGGCAAAATATAAAACATAGTCAATTACATAAAATAGTTTGAATAGAAATGACATTATATGATCATAAATACTTTAATATAATTTTAATTAGATCAACTTTAAAATTTTCTAAACTAATTTGAATACAATGAAGTATAATATAAACTTGTTGACTATATTAACTAAATGATTCACAAAAAAAGTTGACTTAAAAAAATTATTTAATTTATCGAAAGGTGAGAAGAGTTAAAATATATATATAAAAAAAAAGAAGCTATAATATACCCACAAAAAAAAAAGTAAAATTAAAAAATAAAACATTTAAAGAACAAGCTAAAATATCCAAAAAATACCATAGGTGGATTTGAACCCATGCCATCTCATGACACTATCCAAGGTACAACAAACCCAGCATATGAACTCTTTATTCACTACTAGATAACATATATATTAAAGCACCGGGGGGGGGGGGGGGGGGTGAATGGGGGCAGCTGCCCCCACTGCCCCCATTGTAGGTCCGCCACTGCTTATTCTAATCTGGTGTTGAAAAAATCTCTTTGCGCACTGCAGTTTAAGTGTTAAAATGACGCATTTTCAGTGTTAAAAATAGTGCACCTTAAATATTACAAAGACGCACCTTAAGTGTAAAAATGACGCACTTTAAATGTTAAAATGACACACATTCAGTGTTAAAAATGGCACATATTAAGTGTTACAAAGACGCTCGTTAAGTGGTAAAATGATGCACCTTAAGTATTAAAATGGTGCATCTTAACTGTAGAACTTATGCACCTTTAGTGTATAACTAACGCACATTAAATGTTAAAATGGTGCACCTTAAGTGTTAAAGTGACGCACCTTAAGCTTTAGAATTACGCACCTTGAATTTCAACAATAACACACCCCAAGTTCTCAAGTGTAGAACTGACGTCGCACCTTAAGTGTTAAAATGACGCACCTTAATCTTTCAACAATACGCAAAATTACCATAATACTACCGTGTCTTATTAATTAATTAGTATGCATTCTGGACGATTGATTTTGACAAGATCACTAGCTATTATTAAATTGCATGTTTTACCTGGAGACCTCCTTCGCATTTAATCTCTATTATATATATATATATATATATATATATATATATATATATATATATATATATATATATATATATATATATATATATATATATATATATATATATATATTAGCGCTAAAATGCGGCAGTGACTTTAGGTGCGGCGGTTCGGCCATATCAGCATTGTCCATTCTGCTTAATCTAACGACAGCGGCTAATTTCTGAAGATTTAAAGATTTAAGCGCGTCCTGGTAAGTGGGGGGTGTTATGGTAATTGTAGTGGTCATTTATATCGGTCGCTTGTCAGAATACACCAACAGTGTTAACAAAAGACACCAATAATGTTAGGAAAAAGCACCACAATGAAATGCACAAATACACCAAAAAACACACAACACACCCAAAAAATACACCATATAACTCACCACCCCAATTGTGTATTTCTGAACACTGTGTGATGCTTTTATTCATACCTAATGGTGCGTTCTGGTGATGCATATCTAATTTGTGCATGTTTTTTGGTGTGCATTTTTAACATGGATGTTGTATATTTGTATAACTATTAGTGCGCCCGCACTGGTCGCATTAGAAGGCGCGGACGCACCTGAACTTGGCACTGCTCCAACACGAATCCTCAAATACACCACAGTAAGGTTAATAATGCACCAATAACGAACATAAAACACACAACACTATAATTTGATCTATTCTGGTGCCCAATGACGACTTTAACCTTGCAGTTCGCGTAGTGTGAGAACATGCGTGAAAATATCGGAAAAGCCTTGATGAATGTGATTCGTTAGATTTATCTAATCTAATGGCCTACAATTAGCCGCACTTGAACCTTCCTCTCTCTCTCTCTCTCTATATATATATATATATATATATATATATATATATATATATATATATATATATATATATATCATATTTTATATCTAATACCATGCCCTTTTATAAGAATTACATATATATCTTTTTTATTCACAACTCTCTTTTTGTACAGAATAAAGCATCATTCATTTGTGAGTCTTCATGAATAAGACTTTTCATCCTAGCTTGTCTCTCTTGAATACACATTCCTCATCCTCGTATATTTCGTAAAGCCGAGAAGGCTTACGGAGCCTGGCTTAGAGCAGGCTCTCGTCGGGGAGCTCCGATTCAGAATCTGTGCTGGATCGCCCCAGAATCAGCGGCCGAAAGGAGGATTTGGAAATCACCTGCTTTGTCGTGTGTTCCAGAGGTTCATTCCGTCGATGGGGCAGAGCAGACACACGTTAGCAAAACTGGCCAAGGTATGGGCAGTGTGCGTACCGTGGTTGCTACGATGGGTGTTCCGGGAGTTGTGGTGAGGGAGCAGAAGAGAAGGCAAGTTGATCAGGAGGAGGCCTAAACTCTTGAAGGGGATGAGAGCATGGAGTGTGATTTAGCAGTGTCAAAAAACAGATTGGAGGTGGGTTTTGCGGAGCAGGCCCGCCTAGAGTCTTGAGTCTGATGACTTGGAACTGCCGAGGGCTTGGCAACCAGACGGCAGTTCGTGTGTTAGCGGACCATATCCGCTCTAAGAGGCCGAGTGTGGTTTTTCTCATTGAAACTTTTGTGGATAAGCAGCGAATGGAATCTATACGGGTTCAGTTGGGCTATGACAGTGTGTTCACGGTAGAGGCTACGGGTCATAGTGGAGGATTGGCTCTACTTTGGTCTAACACTGTGGATTTGAATGTTAAAGGTTATTCTTCTAATCATGTGGATACGGAGATAAGGTTGGATGTCGGTAGTCCAAAATGGCGTTTAACAGGGTTTTATGGGTACTCGGATCGAAGTCGTA